CATTGTTTTCCTCGTCAATGTTGTCAATGACAGCATCTTCCCATATTACCGGAATAGTGCCAAAGAGCTACCAGTTGATGGTCATTCTGGGAGTTCTCTTCTTAAACTTTGTAGTCCTTTCTCCCTGCTCCATGAAGTAGAAATTTGCACAAAGGAAATAGTGGTTTGATCCCATTTAGAATTTTGGGACAACAGTGATATTGGTCTGGCAAAACTGCTGATTGAATATGATGTGGTCAATCTCATTGTGGAACTGTCCACTGGGAGACTCTCATGTCCAATGTTTAGATTCGACTTTCTAGAACTGTGAGTTACACAGTCCATGGATGGTCTTGGTTGACACGAGGAACTCAGACAGTCTCTCATCCTGTTTGTTCTATTCTAGGCCATTGGTCCCAATGTGGAGTTCTTCGGGCGACCTACTCAGTCCTATCTTGGCATTAAAATTACTGACAATGATCTTGTAGAAGGTGTGAAAAAAAAAAGAAGGTGTGGTCTTCTTTATAGAGCTTTTCCAGTTCCATGTAGAACTTCTCAATTCCTTCTTCATCGTAGTTGGTTGTTGGTGCATAGACAACGAAGATAGAAACTGCCGGCAGTGAGCCACATCTATTCAAGCTTAATCATTCTATTCGAGTTGTTAGGCATTCAAATGATTTAATGCTCATGGCCAAGTTTGTGTTGACAAGAACATTTACACCACTGATGCCTCTATTATCACATGTTCTGAGGAACAGTTCTTCTCCAGTGTTGAAAATGGTGTGATGTGATCGATGCCTTCATGTCTCATCAGACCAATGATATCGTACTTGATCTTCTGCACTTGCACCATCAGGTCCTCGATGGATGCTTCAGATGCCAGCATGTGTCCGTTGAAAGTACAAACAGTTATTTTAGTCCTTCTTTGTTTTGGCAGCCTAGATCGGCCCTGAGGTTTTATCAACCTCTCCTTGCTCATCCTTCTTAATGCTGCCATATTGGGGGCTCTTTCAGGGTCAGGGGAATGAGGCCCATTGTTTTTACTGTTTTTGGCATATAACTAATACACCAATGGTAGTTTGCCAGGCTCTGCTGTGCAGGTGGAATACTCTTGGTAGCTTGCTGGGCTCTCTGAGAGGGATGGAGTCTTTTAGGGTGGCCTCTAATCGCCCTTACAGGTGTTCCCATGGTTCACACCATATTTGAACCCCATCAAATATGGTATGGTAAGTATGGGTATTAAGAGATTATCTTAATATAGAAACAGAGATCCTCTGCCTGCTTCCACCAATCTCTGGCGACCCATGGACCACACCCAAAAGACCTACCCTGCCGGTGCCAGATAAATACCTCATCGGCCTACCTCCACTACCTCCACTACCCAGTCACCACCATGCTCCAGGCTGCTTTCTGAACTGCGCAGCCACAAAGCATAAGACAAACATTATTACTACAATATATTTAATTTGAAATGAAAATCTGGGAACTATTTTGAGTTTATTTAACCTATTTAGAATAAGGCAAGGATGACAAAATTTACAAGACTATAAAAATTTGCTCTTTTTTGGGGTCACACCTGTCAGTGCTCAGAGGTTACTCCTGGCTTATGCACTCAGGAATTACTCCTGGCAATGCTCAGTGGACCATATGGGATGCTGGGAACTGAATCCAAGTCAGCCGTGTGCAAGGCAAATGCCCTACCCACTGTGCTATCACTCCAGTCCCAAGACTATAAAAATTTGCAGTTATTTGTGTCTGATTTAGATTCACTCTATACCCTTTAACATGAATAACAGGTCACAATTTATACAAATAATCTAACCAATTACAGTAAGTGTTGCCATAATTCTGTGACCAATATCTGGAGATTTTTTCTTTGTAAGCAAAACTGATATGATGGGATCTCTATGGGACAAAGTGACGGCTCCTATTTATATGGATTTGGAATATTTATATGTGTATCTTGTTTTTAGCTATATTCTTTCTCTATCTTTATTTTCTTTCTCTGTAGCTTGCTCTCACTCTTGCATGAGAAACTTATAATTATTCATAACAATAAGTTGCTTAAAAGTATGTGGCAAAGGTTAGGAGTTTTCTGAGGTTTAAGGACACATATCTATATTTTTCCCAGAACTTTTTTATTGTCATATATTCTAAGTTTTAATAAATGTAACATGGAATTTCACTCACTAGGAAATAATATGAGAGGTCATTTCATGTAGTAATTTATCATTTTCTAAAGGATGTATTGAATAATGCTGTATTGAGGTTGTTATCCTTGAGTTCAGTCCAGAATATGAACTTTCCACTTCTTGTTTCTGATTAAAAATCATCAACCCCATATCAAAGCATTTACTTATAGCCACTCCATCAAGTGGAAAATTATGGAAAGCATATTCTAAGCAATTTGCATAAATCAAGGAGTTCTTAATGATCTTAATATATCAAAAATTCTGAATAATTTTTGAGTAATAATTGTCTGAAATCTTGTATTTTTTTAGAGATATGTATGAAAAATGTAGATGATGAACCCTAAGGGACTCTATACAGTAGTTTGCATTTCAAATAATCACAATTTGTAGAAATGATTTCAATCACAATTACACATTAGTAGGTACTCTATTATGTTCATTTTAAGTATATTAGTCACTAAATGAAATTAAAAACAGAAAGATTAACAGTATTTATGGAAAATTTCATCAGTGATGAATTCTTGAAGAAGATAGACTAGAACAGCAACAACAACAAAAAGTCCTACATCCCCTTGTGAAATGTGTTCCAATATTCCCAAGTGAGGTCTTGTGCAAAAGTGTATTTAGTGGTGGATGAACTGAACATTATACTATGTGGCCATTATGGTATAATTTCAGAGATAGGAACAGTCTCTTTCCTAGTGCATGAGGTTATCTTACCTGCTTTGGACAATTCTTTACTGCAAGGCTTTGCCTTTATTTGATAGAAATCATCTTTCCAAGGAAAAGGTAACCCTAAATCCAATATAGGTATTTACCTTGAGGCAATTGATTTTTATAACCATTATGAAAAGACATTTTTTTTTTGTTGGTGATACCACAGGATTAGAAACAATTTGGCAACTCTAGATTTTCCAAGGGACAAATAAAGATATAATTAGAAAGGGGGTCTCTTTATAAACTTAAAACACAATGCTCCTTTGTGGTCCAAGTAATTCAAGTTATTTGGAGAATTCATAATTTAAGTTATTTTGAAATCAGGACACAATCAAAAAAGTGAAAGTAGATGAAAGGGCTTTTGTTTATTTGTTTGTTTTGTTCTTTCTAGGGCTGTTCTCAGATAGGCCTCCTGTATGTAAAACAAGTGCACTCATGCTATACCCTGGGCTGTCTCTCCTATGGAAAGAGTTTTATTTTATTTTTGAGTTGGGGGACTGACAGCGATTTATGCAAGATTTTATATAGGCAAGGCATGACTCTATACTGAACTACATCCCCCAGGAGGTTTTTATTTTCACACAGGTAATATATGCTTGAAATGCAATATTGCATTGCAATGTAGGTATATATATAGATAGATAGATGTAGTTTTATATATATAGTTATATATGTGTCTACATTGCATTTATTCACCCTACAAAAAAAGAAGGAAGCCCTATTTCAGACAATGTGAATGAAGCTAGATGGTTATAAGTGATAAGTGAAATAAGACAGACATAGAGATAAATATTGCATAATCTCATCTATATGTAAAATGTAAAATACTCCGACCCACAGAAGCAGAAAGCAGAGTAATGGTTACTAGGACTAGGCATTGTGGGAACCATGGAATGTTAAGTTTTAGTTGTGATCTCTAAATAAGAGATGTAATATCTGAATATCTATTATACAGCATTATAAATTCAGTAAATAGTACAGTATTATACATGTGAAATTTGCCAAGAGGATAGATCTTAGGTGTTTTTGTCAGACACATACAAAGTAAATAAGTGATAGTAGGGAGAAGTAAATGGAAGGTGAGGTGTAAGATATTTCTATGAGTTTGATTATAATGATAATTTTACTATACATATGCACACCACTTTTCATACTTTGACTATAGATGTAATTTCTATTTTTTGTTTGAAACCACAATAACATTGGGGAAGACAAGAAGAAAGTTTAAAGTACTATGACTTTTTTACATTCCATAATGAAAAAGCCATAAGCAGTCATTTTAGGCTTGACTTTTTCATCTTATTAACATCTAAATTGTATGAAGAAAAATGTTCCTAAGAGAATTCTCTTTATAAGTGCAAAAACTATTTCAGTAGAATAAGAATAAAGGATGAGAGTAAGCGGACAGTGTTTCAAAAACGTAAATGCCAAGACCTTATCTCTAAGGGATGTGTGTAACTCTCAGAGAGAGGAGATATGGAGCTACCTTACGTATTTTTCTAAAAGCATCCACATTTATTTTGATATGCTGTCATCACTTAAAGTCCATCTGGACTTTATGATTTGCTTGCAATTTGTCAAGTTTGGTAACAGGAATGAAGGAATGATATAATTATGCCAATGTGGCGCTATTCAAGCATGTGAGTTACTGTTCAGCGACGTGAGTTACTGATGTTCTGAACGATTTCAGTCGCACTTTATATCCATTCTATATAATCTACCTTCAAGTTTAAGACTAAAAAATTGCTGAAAAATTAGTATTTGATGCCTTCCCGAGGAGGATTGGTGTGGTATAAAATGTTAGTCTCATACATGGTCTTACTTCCTTGTTTATTAATGTACATTTAATTACAATCTAAAAAGACAAGCAAACTCTATCCTCTTGGTTGTTTTATCTATTTTTTTTAAACAATTAGGCTAATAAATGATAGCTCCCATCTACGTTTGCCAGCAGGGAAGAAGAAATGCGTAACTATAACAGGGTTACTTTCAATAAGTAACATATCAAATGCATCTTGTACAAACACTCTGGAATAATATTAAAAAGTACTTGTTATTTATTTTATATCAGGATTACCAACATTGTTTTTTTCTTTCCTTTCCTTCCCTCAGATGTACATCCAGACCACAACGCTTACTGTCTCCATGAGTTTAAGTGCTTCAGTATCTCTCGGCATGCTCTATATGCCCAAGGTTTATATTATAATTTTTCATCCGGAGCAAAATGTTCAAAAACGCAAGAGGAGTTTCAAGGCTGTGGTGACAGCAGCCACCATGCAAAGTAAACTCATCCAAAAGGGAAACGACAGACCAAATGGCGAGGTGAAAAGTGAACTCTGTGAGAGTCTTGAAACCAACAGTAAGTCATCAGTAGACTTTCCGATGGTCAAGAGCGGGAGCACGTCATAATAGATGTACGTTGAACATTCTTCTATTAGTCTGGGGGACTAAGCTTCAAGGTTCTAGGGAAATTGTGGTAGTCCTACATCAGGAGGCCATCAGAGCAGTTAAGACAGTTGTTTAGGACTGAGTGATTTCAAAATGGCTCTCCCCCACCACACAGACATCCACATATAAGATCTTTTATGAGACATTGCAGTCAGAACTCTTTCTGAAAACATATAGCTTGAAGCTTGGAACTATTTTCCATGCATAAAATTGTCCCAGTACTTTAAGAACAAGACTTATATTTTTCTTAGTTCAATCTTGGTTGCTCTTTATGAAATTATTGCCTAACTAATATGGTGAAGCATGCTACCAGATGTGTCACACAACTCTGTATGTTATTTGACTATTTAGAGGAATTAAGAAACTAGGCTGTATCTGGTTAAAGCAGTTATGCATATTTTCTCCACATCATCACCTTCTTTTAACTTTTCTTGATTTCACTTATTAGATATGTTAAGATAATTAGAAATCTCTAAAAGCCTCAAGACCTTGAAACTAAAGTCCTCTCACAACCAGTGATCCACTTTTCCTTTCCTCTCTTATCTCTAACACCTGAAGATGAATATAATCACCACACACTTACACCAACAAAATCCAGTAGAATTTAAATCTATTCAACAAGCTAGATAAAATGATCTGACAAAATTCAACTATATTTTGTACCTATGGAAGTTTGTCAAATAGGTTGAATATTTTTGTTTCATATAATAGCAAAAGTCTAGTATAGTTAGAAACAAAAGCTTTTTTTAGGTTCTGTAGATGTTCAAAATGAAAAAAACAAATATCTAGGGTGCTTGCAATAAAGTCACTTCCTATCTTGGAAAAAGAAAATATGGGCATTATACTAGACATGGGTATTTAATTATTTGTAATAAAACCAGTATATAACAATCCTTTTCATGTTACATTCATCTGGCAGGATATATCCCTATTCTCTTCATTTTTGACATAAAGTACAGAAAGATTACATTATTTTATCTTATTTAATTATCAGTACAACTTAGGTTCTTCACTGGATGCACACACATCCCTTTTTACATCAGTATTTCCATTTGGACATTGCTTATTTTAATACCTCATATGCAGAAATGTCTTTAGAAGAATAATATTAATAAATTTATTGATATGAATTGCTATGCTTCTTGGAATTACTGTCCTCTTGGAAAATTACCTTTTAACTCACTAATACCAAATTTAGTCGCTGCTGAGAAAGATTTCAGGTCTCCACTAACCATTCCCATGTATTCTCCTTTCTGCAAATTTGAAAAGTTGAGAAATTGCCTGCTCTGCTAGAATGCCTCTTGTGGATTTGTTTATTTTTTGGGGTCATACTCATTGGTGCTCAGGGCTTACTCATGGCACTATACTCAGGAATCACTCTGGTAAGGGGCTTGGGGAACTATATGTAGTACCAGGGATCAAACCTGGCAAAGGCAAGGCAGGTGCACTCCTCTCTGTTCTATTGGTCCTGCCCAAAACTCTTTTTTAATTTTTTTTTGGCTTTTTGTATCAAACCCAATGATTCTCAGGGCTTACTTTTGGCTCTGCACTCAAGAATCACTCTTGACGGTGATTGAGGTGATAGTACAGTGAACATCACTGGGTATGCCCCCAAAAACAAATAAAAAATATTAAAGAAGAAAAAAAAAAGAATCACTCTTGACAGTTCTCAGGTGAGCCCTGGTTGACTGCATATAAGGCAAATGCCCAACCTGCTATACTATCACTCTGAGCCTTACCCACTAGTTCTTTTGTTATACATGTAATAATAGAGTACCACAGAAAAAGCCACTGAAAAATAGCCATGGTATGATTTTGGTTTTTTTTTTTACAAAATTAAAAAATATATAAAGTTATTCATGATTTATTACATTCAATATTCCAACACCAATCTCACCACCATTATCGCCAATTTTCCCCAACCACCACCCAAACCTGCCCAATAGCTTGCCCTAAATAATTTATTTTATATTATTTGTTATGGATAATTTGCTAAAAATGATCAAAAAAGATTTCCTTAGAAGAAAATGTGTGAAGATTATTGAATCTTACCCAGCATCCATTAGGCCCATATATGCCTCTCAGAGAGCCCGGCAAGCAGTAGAGAGTATCCCACCAGTATAGCAGAGCCTGGCAAGCTACCCATGGCATATTCAATATGCGAAAAACAGTAACTAAAAAGGGTCTCATTCCCCTGATCTTGAAAGAGCCTCCAATATGGCAGCACTGGGAAAGACGAGTAAGGAGAGGATGCTAAAATCTCAGGACTGGGAAGAATGGAGACGTTTCTGGCACCCATTCAAGTAAATTGATGAAAAATGGAATGACAATGATACAGTGATACAGTGAGAAACTGCCAGGAAAAGACACAATAAGGATGGGGGTTGGTAATAAATCATTGTAACCATCTCAGATTACAGGGAGGCAATTTACTAATAACTGGCCTATTTGGGTTCTTATCAAAAGATATACGATAACTATTATCAGTCACATCAGAGTAGATCACTAGTGATCTAAGGGTAGAACTGGTCTATGTTTTCTCTACCTTTGAAAACATCAGTGCAAGATGTTAGAACCTATTATAATATGCCATGCTGTTAGCCAATGAACTGCTCTTAGCACAATTTGAACACTGGCATTTCACAGAATGACTCACTGGGGTTTATTGTTTTACTTCTTTTATTGCAACACTCAAGAAAACTTTATAGAATTTGGTTGTAATTGGGCATAATCTAACATAAATTGAAAAAAAATACTAGCTTTCCCAGGTGACCTCTGGAAAGTAGCAGGGAAACAAATAATAGACTTCTCTACCTCTCTAGAATATGAATAGTTCACCTCAAAAAAAGAAAATTCCCTGTATTGATAAGGATTCATCCTATAATAAAGAAATGCTTTATACATTTTTCTGTTTTCCTTCGGTTACTTTCTGTTGATGTTGAAATGGAAATTATATGGCATGCATACTATTCTCTAGTTTCCCTTCAATGAGAATGAAAGGTTTTTAAATTTTTTTAATTTTTTTTAATTTTTAAATTAAAATATGCCATTATGATAAACTGGACTATGTTTATTAGTGGAGGGTAAGTTTATAATATTCTGAAAGAATTAGAAGCTTCCTTTTAGAAGTTAACAGAAGTTTAAAACTGAATCAAGATAAAAGTAATAACTACCTAAAATAAGATAAAATTGTTCATTGGAGATTTCAGCTTTTCTCTTATTGGTATAGTTTGAATTTGATTAAATTTCATCCAGAAAAATAATTATTGCTTGAATATTAAGGAAAGATTGCATATAAACTTATACATCCTTCTTTAGTCCCATTCTAGGTGACTACTGTTAATAGATTTCACTCACACAAGTAGCTTTCTTGAACTCTGGAATTCCTTTACTTCATGTGCCAGTAGTCTTCATGAAATCCAAGCTTCTTAAAATCATTAACTTTAAAATATTAATAGCCCCATTATTTCAAAAACTCTATTTTTCAACTAAAAATATCTATTATGTCTCAGAAGTATAATTGAATGTAGAAAATGTCTTTGCTATTCAACAGTCACTAGTTCCATGACTCCTGAAATTTAAAAGTCTTCTCAAAACATAGTCTACTCTCAATAAATCAAGTGCTAGCTGGTTAATCTACTGAAAGAGCAATAGTGTTCCTGCATTTATATATACTCTGCTACTAGCTTTGTAATAAATCTCTATTATTTAATGAATTGATAATGATATGCATGAAAATGTTATGTAGCTATAATTGCCAAGTAACAGTAAAAATAAAATAAAACTATGGTTTAATTAATTTTACTAAAATATGCCATTAAAATAGGTTGAACTATGGTTATTAGAAAAGTGAAAGTCTAAAGATATAGGGTTAGGCTCTTTCTCTTTTTAAAAAGGTGAAACGTGGGGCTGGAGTGATAGCACAGCGGGTAAGGCATTTGTGTTGCACGCGCCCAACTCAGGTTCGATTCCCAGCATCCCATATGGTACCCTGAGCACTGCCTGGAGTAATTCCTGAGCGCAAAGCCAGGAGTAACTCCTGAGCATCGCCAGGTGTGACCGCCCCCCCAAAAAGTGAAACGTTCTGATAAATATGGCCATAATTCCAGTGTTACTTTTTTCTGATCCCAACTTGATTAATTAAGTGTTGATGACACCCTTGCAAGCTCTCTATCATGGCTATGGGACACTATAAGTCCATCACACTTAGACTAGACACTCAACTTAAGTACTATGTTAATGCCAGAAATTCTGATAGGAAATTCTGGAGCTTCAGTAATTGCATAGATTAATATAAAAAATATGAAGATAGTTGTGAGACCAAGTTGATTATTAGTTAATTATTCAATAATTAACTTATGGAATTGCATTTCATGCACAAAAACAATATTGTGTTGATTCATAAGAGTGTGAGAATTCAGAAGTTAAGAAAAATGTAGATATAATTATTTATATCTATATATCAACTTATAGCTATATAGATGCAAAATTGTATCCCTCAAGTTATATTAGTGAATAATTCATAAAGCAGCTGTGCAGTTTTTCTAGTTTTTGAACCAACTGTGGAGCATGAAAGGAAATTTATTTTTCCTGTATTTAAAAACTGACTTCCATATAGGTGTATTCATCCCAACTGTAAAAACTCTCTCAATTACCTCTTATCGACAGTGCTGATTATCTCTGCTATTGACTCAATTCCTGGGATGAAGACTAATGCAACAGAGTTGCCTTCACAAAGTTTTTCTCTTTGTCACTGGTTTTATGGTTTCTTCAACTGTATCTACATTCTTTCCTTGCCAGAGGGGGGAAAAGTGAAGGCTTCTTAACTTTTGTAAGTTATGGTCTCAATTCTCATTTAAAGACTAACATTGTTTTCCCTCATTGAATTCATCTCTAAGACTTCAACAAGTGAAGTATGTAATGCCTTAGAAGAGGAATGATTATTGAAGATGATCTTATCCACTTTTCCTTTTATTGAACATTTTCTATTATCTTCTTAAAGATCTTTTTGAATTATATATCTCTTTTCAACCATTAGTTTTCTTTTTTGCTATGACCAAATATAAACATTGCTTAAACTTTGATGATTATTGAAAGCATCGCATAGGAAAGGGAATTAAACAATTTCTAAGGGTTTTTTTCTTCTAAGTTTTGAAAAAAATTTTTCATCTTACCTGTAAAAGATTATATGAAAATTTTTCATAAACCATAGAGGAAAATCAGACTTGATTTTCTTAGCAGAACTTTAGAGCCATATGTAAATTAGAATTTAGATAGTATATCTAATGACACAAATTAGAAGTTAAATTAATGAATAAATAAATAATTTTAAAATTATTTTTAAATTATTTCATATCAAAACAAATTTAACCAACGCCTTAGAAGGATATATAGAAAGTAGATTATATACTAGTTCTCTTAGTCAAAAGTAAGTAAGTAAGTAAGTAAATAAAGGCCCTCCCGTTGATCATCGATTTGCTCTAGCGGGCCCAGTAACATCTCCATTGGAGACTTTGTTGTTACTGTGTCTGGCATATCGAAAGTCTACATAATAGCCATTTCTCCACAAATCTACTTTATCCATCCTTATAGATACCGAATTGCATTTGTTAATAATTAGAATTTTTATGTATTTTTTAAATATTTTGATTAATATATTTGTAGATTCAAATCAATGGTTCATTTTTATTCCTATCATTAATTTCTAGTTCGTGATTTTAAACAAATTAAGTAACATGTTCTAAAGCCAGAATGCTATAAAAATAGTCATTATAGGCTTTGAATTTTAAAATCATTTAAACAAAAATATGATATTATGTACAATTAATTTGTCTTAATTTGTCTTAACAGCCTCCTCTACCAAGACAACATATATCAGCTACAGCAATCATTCAATCTGAAACAGGGAAATGATACAAAATGAAGATATCTGGTGTGTGATCTTAAACAATGAACACGACACCTTCAAAACTCACTCCTGAAAAGCTCGGTAGACTACAATCAATCAAATCAATAGTCAAACTTGTAAGGAACAAAAGTTAGCCATGAGCCAAAAATATCAATAACAGAGTGAAGAAAACCTTTTATACACTACAACCATTAAGTGTCAAGCTAAAGTATTGCTTACTTATGAGCAGTTTAAAATAAAAAAAAAAACACAAAAGGAAAACTAATGTTAGCTTGTAAAAAACAAAATGCTGTTGAAATAAAACCATGTCTGATGTTATTCTTGTAAGTATTTTTCTGTGATTGTGAGAACTCCCATTCCTGTCCCACATTGTTCAACTTGTATAAGACTATGAGTCTCTTTCTTGTAATGGCTGACCGGATTGAAGCCCTGGGTTGTGCTAAAAATAAATGCAATGGTTGACGCATGCAATTTTTTATACAAATAATTTATTTCTAATAATAAAGGAATGTTTTGCAAATGTTGAGAGTTGTTTCGTTCCAGTTTTCAAGCCAGGGAAATCTTTCTAATAGGCACTTCTGCTGTTTCTAGACTCCCACTGTAAAAGCACTAGTATTCCAAGAAATACAATTTCCTCCAGGAATGTGTTTTTGTACATCATGTGTTTATGAAGAAGATTGTCTTTTATTCCTATATGAGAAGACATTACTTGTGTAAGATTTTGTGAATTCAAAGTTGATGCAGTAACTTTTCATTGCAATTGCTTCTTTTTTGAAGAATCAAGCAAATGGCTTGACATAAATTGCTGCAAGTAGTATCATATTAACATCTGACAAGTTACTGAAATTCTGGTCACTGAAAGTCTTTATTTTCTAAGTCAAAACTTTTGCATCATAAAACAGCCCAAGGTATATACTAAATACCTTTTCTCACCTAGGCCTCATTGCCACTGAAATCAGTGAAGTAATGGGCCTTACCCAGTAGTTCCTCAAAGAGGAGATTAGCATATTTATTCCCTCCAGCATTACTAAAGAAAGCACAGTTCAGATAACATGTCAATGCTTTCTTATTTTCCAAGTGAAAACATTCATTGGTTCATAGAACAGTATCATTAAAGTGAAAGAGAGAGGGGGGAAAAAAAAGGGAGCTTGTGTCATGCTAATAAACCACACTAGGCTGGATAAAGGAGCCCATTAAAGGCTTTCAAATCCGTTACCATTTTGTCATGGGTTCCTCTGTTCTAAACAATCCCAGACATCTATCAAGTCAATGGGTCTCTACAACTATTTTGTTAGTAAATGTTCTCTCTGCTGAGTTAGCTCGGATGGCTCATTGCACTGCTTATAGATATAAAGAGCTATCTGGGCTCTGTAATTTTCATCCAAGTATTGACAAGTCACTTTATTTAGTAGAGAGAGTTGAAGTAGCATAATGTAGTCTCCTCCAACATATAATTTCCTAGATATCTACATTGGAAGGAAACTGCATATAAAAGAAAACATGTATTTATCCTCCTTTTGTTGGGGTTCTCCTAATAATGTGAATTATTTGAGATAATATTTCAATGAAGGAATATGGACATTGTTCTTAAGTTTTCATATAATTTGAATCACTGATATATACAATCCTGTAATAGGATCTCAAACCAATAGGTGTGCCTTTCTAGATAAACCTAGTTTATTTTAAAACAAAATAAACCCATCGATGCTTCCTTCTTTGCTACATTTTACTAAGTCATGTAGCTCATATCAATAGCCATGCCAAGAAAAGTAATTATAATTCTATTTTTATTTGTAAGTTGACAGTTTCTTTGTATTGGGGATTATTAGTACTTTGTAAGATTTTTTTTAAAACTTAATTTTAACTGTTAAGTATCCACATTTCTAGTCAAATGCTTGAATTTTATGTCTTGTATTTCATTCAGACAGCAAAATTCAAGTATATTTTTTATGTTTTTGTTTACTAATTGACTCTAATCAGGATGAGTGGATGCAACAGGGTGATTATGAGAGTAAGGCTGCTTCTTAGGAAAAAGTGGGTTGCTCTTAGGGTTGGTACATTTTGCTTTGTTTTCAAATTTTAAGGGAGACAAAATATACATACATACATACATACGTATATATATATGGCATACGGTATCTCAAAATTGTTTTTTTTCAACTAAAACTTACCAATAGGTTGTTTTTCCTAAGTACTTTTTATAAATAATTGATTTTTACTGTTCTGCAAAATCTTGTTTAACTCATAATAGAGTTGAAAAGTAGTTCTCTTGGGTTTATATATGCCAATCATCCTTTTCAAAATCATCTCAGTGGGAAACTTTTTTTTTGGAGGATGCAGCTATCACCTTCCCCAGGCAGTTGGAGGAGAGAGTCCCTCAACCTCTTATAGTAGGAGCTGAAGAATTCTGACCTCTACCGTGGTTATTTTTTCAGGGATTTTGCAGAGGGCTCAGGAGGTAGTTTTATAGGCTGGGACAAAGTAGGGAGGCCTCCTATAAGGAGAAAGAATTAGTGTGTGCTAGCAGTGGTTTCTAAGTCCCATGCTTTAAAGTGCAATGTCTGTGTACTATAGATAAGCAAATGCAAAGTGTGTGGAAAATATAATATTATATTCTATGGAATCAGCCTTGTGTTTTATTCTGGATAAGAAATGTCACATCTAATCTCAGCATGCCAGAGGGAATGCTAAAAATGTGGCCCAAGGAAATATTTAGCAAATGTCAGCAGTAGACAAAGAGGGATATATTAGCGTGACCTTGGGCCAAATTTGACCTCAATTAAAAAATAAATTTTAGCTTATACTCATTCATATTTAAAGATGTCTAGATCAATTATGGTTGATCTATCAAAGATTAACTTTCCTTTGGAGAAAAGCGGTTCAAATTTTAACTTGAATGATGACCATTGGAAAATGAATAGGAAATAAATGGCCTACATAATTTCTAGTGTTTCATAAGAAATTTTTGCAGAAAAAAAATGGCATTTCAAATGAATGTTGTTTTATTTAAGGAAGTGGAGCTCAGGAGAATGCCAAAGCAGTGCTCAAGGACCCAGGGAACACTCTCTGTAATAATTTTGGACCAAGTAGGCTGGACAGCTCAATGCAAAAGACTGAGAATGCAGCACATCTCAGATCTTGTACTTTCAGGGATCAGTAGGGTCACGCTAAGAAGCTGGAAGTACACGCAGCAGTGCTAGGGGTGGAATGTAGGGACTTGCGGTACCGGGGTTTGAACTCAGTTCTGATACATACAAAGCAAGCACCCCTGAACACGGACGTACCTATCACCTCAGTCCAGGGTTAACATTTTTAGTTAAATTAAATGTCTATTTCAGTAAATGTCACCAGATTAAGGAGTTTGCCTCATATGTATCTCCCCATCCTCCCATTCCCACCCACTGCCCCACCCACTCCTTGCATGAAGGAGTTCTGTTCTGTTCTCTGCTTTCTCTTATATACCAATGGCATTGTGGAATAAATATTAAAACTGTTCTAAATTACATTAGCCATCATTAATATTTGGTCAGCAATTTTTTAATGATATTCTTAAACTCTATTACACAAACTATTCTCTTTTTCTCATTTTTTTGACAGTAGCTTTATTCATGTTTTAAGATTGAATTGCTAAAACAATAGAGATTACGTGAAAGAATGAGTGGGAATCCCAATTATTGAATGGCCTAGTCACATATAATGACCTTTATATATGTGTCTATTTGCTTTTGTTATGACTTTCTTTTAACGAAGATTTAAATAAAAAATTTTGAATACAGCTAGAAGAAAAGATTTCTCTAAGAAAAATCATGTTCAGAAATTTGCTGATAGTTACTTTGAAAAGTGTTCTATTGGAGCAAAAACAGTAGCAAAAATAACAATAGTTTTTTTTTAAATATATTTTATGGATTTTTCACTTCAATATTTCTTTTATAAATTTTTTGTAGCATAAGCTTTAGTGATATTATTTTTGGACATCATTGTTGTTTACTTTGATCCTTCATTAGTATATTCAGAATTTTTTCTTCCTCTTGAATTCAATGTATTTTCAATGGAAAGCCTTGCATATTTATATTTACATGTATAATTCCAGTGATATTAATGATGAAAAGAAATTTCTTTTACTAACTATACTTTTAATTGCCAACTGTTTAATTAAGCAGTTTATCAAAGCAATCTTTGATAAATAACTTGCTATCAAAGTCATAAAATAAGCCTAATCAAGGAGTGGGAACTATGAAAATATAAGAAGTGACTGTGAAATAACTTGGGTTTGAGACAGGGAGGATATGGGTATAGAAAACAGAAAAGAGAAATGTTTGGTGTGGTATTCAGATATTGAAGTAAGCATTTGAGGTAAAGGTAAAGGTAAAGGCCCTCCCGTTGATCATCGATTTGCTCGAGAGGGCCCAGTAACGTCTCCATTGGAGACTTTGTTGTTACTGTGTTTGGCATATCGAATACGTCACGGGGAGCTTGCCAGGCTCTGCCGTGCAGGCGAGATACTCTCGGTAGCTTGCCAGGCTCTCCGAGAGGGGTGGAGGAATCGAACTCAGGTCGGCCATGTTGGCTGCATGCCAGGCAAACGCCCTACCACTGTGCTATCGCTCCAGCTCCTTTAACTAAGACCTCTTAGGTATATTTACCTGATCAAAGGCTAGTCTTGAGAGCTAACAAATACTATTAGAATGTTAAAACATAATTTTGAAAGAGTTCAAGTATAACTACCATATAGTAGCTATATAAGAATATTTTTCATCTTGTTTTCTAATGAAGAAAACAAATAAAATGCTAAATATGAACAAATAATGGTTAAATAGCTAGTAATATTATAACTATATTTAGTTGTATACTGACTGGTAAATTTCATAGTAGAAATTTATACTAGAATACCTCAGAGGGTTATTTATTAAAACTGCTAGGTCTTACAGTGGAATAAAACATAAACTTTGAATGTATCTCTTCCATTGACCAGGTATTATCCACTTCTCCTGGGTTAATATTAACAATTCAAGCCTGTACATACATGCTAAACAATAGTTAGAAATTAAAATTCAGCACTTAACTGAAAGAATAGCCATTAATGATCATTGTCTTGGTAACGGATGTGGCTCAGTGATAGATGATTTGCCTTGCATATATAAGAACTGGGTTTGCTCCATGACAGAAAAAAAAATCAAAAAATGGTTTTCCAGATATTGGATAATTTTTCTGATGACTAAAGTTTGATTCTTCTTCTTTCTACGATATCAATCATTACAATGACTATATGTAAATAATTAATATCACAAACATACCTATAATCATTAAGATAAACCACGATAGCCATGAAACCGTTTGGGGTTGGGACCCTGGTTCAATTATTCTTTCCTGTCTTTATTCTTTTATGTTGTTTTACTTTTGCTTTGGTGGTAATTTTTTTTGGTGGGGGTGGTTTTGGGGGCCACATCCAAAAGTGCTCCTGGCTCTATGCTCAGGGATCAATCTTGGCAGTCCTGTGGGACCATATTGGCTGCCTGGAGTCCATCTTGGGTCAGCTGAATGTAAGGCAGATGCCTTACCTACTTGTTGTCTGTCAACCCCTTGCCTTTACTCTTTATTTTTTTTTAATGAATCACCATAAGATACAATTACATTCTTACGAACTTTCATGATTATATTTTAGTCATACAATGATCCAGTACCCATACCTCCACTAGTTCCCATTCTCCACCACCAATGTTCCCAGCATCCCTCTCACCACCCCCAGCTTCCACTCCCCTACCCCCACCCCTGCCTCTGTGGCAGACACACTTCCTTTTACTCTCTCTCTCTCTCTCTCTCTCTCTCTCTCTCTCTCTCTCTCTCTCCTTTTGCTTTGTTTTGTTTTGTTTACTACATCTGCATGCAGAGGCTTGACCAAGCCAGATGAGATAGTATATAAACACGAATAAATGTGTAACTCCTAAACTAACATTACCCTATCTGGCAGTTCCACAAATGAAAGTCAAGAAAAGTATAACTTCTTCCTTTTTTTAATTTCCTCACACTGTCATCTCTAAGGGATTTTTGTGCTTTTTCTTTGTAAGATATTACCCTTAAAAAGGAAATAGCTTTTTTGAGAGTCACGTATAAGAACTAGGATAATTTTTCTATTTCCATGCATACATTCTGTGTCATTAGCTCTTAACTCTGGCTCATTCCCGCAAATTTTTGTCTGGGATCCTGGAACAAGCATATTTCAAGTAGGGAAGTCAGAAGAAAGTCTTCTCAGTCCCAGATAGGAGAGGAAAGGGACAGGTAAGATCAATGGAATTCTATTTTCTACAGATACCCAGAATTTTGGTTCCCTTTACCTATGCCACACTACTCTCTAATACCCCAGGTTCTTTCAACTCTGTACATTCTAGGTAGAAATTTACTCAAAGATCTATTTTATCTGTATTCCTAAATTACTTTTCTGTGTCAAAATTTTTCCACATATCTAAGAAACAGAGTTATCTAAAAGACCCGCAAGTGAGGTTACTGAAACTAGATTTCTTTTTCAGTTGTTTTGGGGGGTCACACCAAGTGGCCAGGACCACAGTTACTACTTGAACAACATCCCTTGTCCCTATAGCTAGATTCTAAGTAATAAATCATATAATGAGGATAGATTAGTCAATCACTTTATTTAGAAACTGTCTAAGAACTGCAATGCAGGAGTTATTGGAGGTCCTGAGAATTTAATAGTGGGTCCCCAAAGCAAGCCTAACCTTTATTCTCTTCTGTAAAAGAGATAAATAGTAAACAAAAGAAATATGTAAGTATAGCATATGTGAGATAATTACAAATGCTGAGAACAAAAACAGAGAAA